AATAATGGCTGAGAGAAAATAATAAATAAAAAGAGTGCTGCTGTGAGTGCAGGCAGTCTAGGGACAGCATCCATATTTCAACCCAGTGGAATGACAACACCGGCCCTCGCGGCCAAAAAATCTTCCCGGTGCTCCCGATTAGCCAATCCAGGCCTGGGTGCAGCTGTCAGTCATTCTCCGCTCAGTATTCAAGCAGCACGTCACGATCAGTTATGACAGTCAGCACGGTAAAACTCTCTCTCTATATTCCCATTATAATACTTTAAGTTTAAGGAAGGAAGGAATTATCACAAACAGAAGCATCAGGTGAGCAAGCTAGTGAAACGTTGCACGCGCAAAAGAGAAGGTCTGCACACATCCAAAAACTTATTTTAAACGCAAAATTGATTTTCGTGCGCTCGAAATACTTTTTTCTTTGCGAAACGAACGTTTTCTCCACAAAACTCAGATCGCGCGCGTGCAAAATGCACTTTCGTGCACTCAAAATATGATCTTTCGCACGCAGAATTGTGGCAGAAATGTAATCCCATAGTCTTAAAGCCTTCTCTTAAACGGCTACTTCACGAATAAAACAATGATTTGCACAAAAAGAATGATTAATTATCGATTGAGAATTTGTTATTGATATAGTCTAGTGAAAATAGTAATAATGGCTGCGAGAAAATAATAAATAAAAAGAGTGCTGCTGTGAGTGCAGGCAGTCTAGGGACAGCATCCATATTTCAACCCAGTGGAATGACAACACACCGGCCCTCGCGGCCAAAAAAGCAGTGAAAGAAGTCTCTTCTACTCATCAAAGCTGCATTTATTTAAACAGAAATACAGTAAATAGTAAAATTTTGAAATATTTCAATTTAAATATTAGTTTTCTGACTGTAGTTTAAAATTTAATTTAAATTTTCAGCATCATTCCTCCAGTCTTCAGTGTCACATGATCCTTCAGAAATCATTCTAATATGCTGATTTGCGGCTCAAGAAACATTTCTGATTATTAGCAATGTTGAAAATGGTTAATTTTTCAGAAATCTTTGAATAGAAGGTTCAAAAGAACAGCATTTATTTGAAATCATTATTTTGTAACATTATAAATGTCTTTACTGTCACTTTTGATCAATTTAATCTTTTTTAATCAATTTAAATTCAATTTTCTTAAAAAAAAAAAACTTTTGAACTGTAGTTTCTTTTTTTGTGTGCTTAAAAAGTTAGGGGCAAATCCTTAAAAACATGTCATTAAAAACAGTAATAAATATTTTTATTAATAATATTTTTTTATTTGATATAATATACATTCTAGAAATATTATTTAGGTTCACATTATGCATTCATGCAAGGTCTTTATGTGAACCTTATTAATTTGTAAAATTCTCAAATTATGTATAATCAATTATATTCTACCTATATGCATTTATATAGTTGTATAACTGTAAACAATATATAATGTTTGTGCGCATATCTATGTATAAACAATTACTAAAATTCAAAAATTATTTATAAGCCATTTTATCAATCATTATTTGCTTTGTAACATTAAAATAATGAAATATTACTTAACACACACAGACACAGAGGCCAAACCTTTGAACTGCACTGTATATCTTGATTTTGCTTATGCTTGAAAAACAACAACTTTGGAATGTGCAAGTGATGGAGTTGGGCGGTCATGTTGTGTGTGGTGTTGCAGGAGTCCATACGCTGGCTGGAGGATGAGAAGGTTCTTCTGGAGATGACCGAGGAAGTTGATTATGATGTGGAATCTTTTGCCACTCAGCTTGAGCAAATCCTGGATCAGAAGATTGATGTGTTGACCGAGCTCAGAGGTCAGTGTGTTCACAGTCGTCCTCCAAGAACCTGTAAATAACTAAGTCTATGATGTCACAGTTTTAAATGTGATGCATATTAATTAGAAAATGGAAATTAAGTTTATTTTTAGAACATTATTTTTTTTATTTTTTTTTTTATTAACATTTTCTCCAAAAACAAAAAAAAATTCTGTAGTGTAAATTCATTTTCAATTTAATGAAGTGATGTTTATTATAATACATGATTTAAAATTTTTTTAACTTTTATTCAAAATTTAGAATTTTAAATGTTAATCTAAAATGTCATAATACAAAAATGTTTTATTATATACTTTATATGCATAGATTTTTTATATTACAAACATTTTTTATTCTAGAAATTATAGAATATATAAATTAACATTATATTAATATTTAGATTCTTTATTATTTGTAAGATTAAAAAATAATTAGCCATTTATTATAATACATTATTGTATTATATTTTTTTACATTATTGACACTGCCATTTAAAATTGTCTATTTAATTAAAAATGTAAGTAATGTCATAATACAAAACTAATAGTTTTAAAATAACTTTATGTATAGCTTTTTCTTATGTAAACATTTTTTTTCACAGAATTGTAATGAGTTTAATAAATGAATATATAATTAATATTTAGATTCTTTATTATTTGTAAGATTAAAAAATAATTAGCCATTTATTATAATACATTATTGTATTATATTTTTTTACATTATTGACACTGCCATTTAAAATTGTCTATTTAATTAAAAATGTAAGTAATGTCATAATACAAAACTAATAGTTTTAAAATAACTTTATGTATAGCTTTTTCTTATGTAAACATTTTTTTTCACAGAATTGTAATGAGTTTATTAATTTTCACAAATTGTAATATGTAATAAATAGAATATTTATATTCCAAAAATTATAGAATGTAAAATGTATATATTAGTAATATATAAAATAATGTTTATAAACATTATTAGTATTTAAATTACTTATTTTATTATTTATATAAAATGTAATCGATTACATTTTATGTGCTCATTTTTATTTTTATAAACTATATTAATATTTTCACAAGAATTTAATAGTGGAATGCAAGAGTTTTATATATAGTAATAATATAAATCTATTTTTTATTCATTTTAAGTGTGTGTGTGTATAATGACTTGTAGCATTACCATTGGTTATATTATTTATAAAAACAGGGCTCGCAAAATTTCTAAATCCCTGGTAGTCCTTCGGGCAGGTACTCTTCAGATTTTGGTAGCCCGAAAATTAATTTAACTAGCCCCAAAAAAAACAAAAAAAAAACAAAACTTTTTTTTTTTTCAAATATAGAAAATCAGATAGGAGTTTAAATGTCAAATCAAAAATATTTTCAATACACAAATATGAAGGAAGGAATTTTATTTCACTATTTACAGGGTATCTGCAGAATTTTTAAAAATAAATTTAAGGCGATTTATGACCCATTTTAAGAGCTGCACAAGTAAAATGAACACAGTATGAGTGGGGTTGGACTGTGGTAACACAGTACTGAGCCATAAAATTACATGATTTACAGTTCAGATACAGGTTTTCACAAAAACAAAAATCTTATACAACAGCATTTCACCCTTTAGACTATTTTTATGAAAAAGGATAAATCAAGCATATAAACTGTCCATTTAAAATGTATAAATATTACGGTCTTAATTTAGATTTTTAGAAGGCACATTAACTTCTTTCTCATTTACAACTCTGTGTTTGCTGCGTAAAGAGTTGATATTTGCATTGATCTGACCATAAACGGCAAGAAAGGCTTATTGGAAATGCAAATTCATTCTCTGCCACGAGGTGGCGCTTTAAGGCCCGTTCACACCAAGCAAGATAACTATAAAGATAACGATAAATATATAGTTCTAAAAATCTGATAGGTGATACATTTGGTAGCCCGACTGGAAAACACAATAGCCCCGGGACGTCGGGCTAGCGATTTTGCGAGCCCTGAAATAATACAAATTATGGTCATTAAAATACTTCATACTAAATATTTATAATTTGTTAAATTCTACAATTATTTAGAATCAATTATCTATTTACATAAAACATTTTATTTTTTTCTATTAAACAATGAAGGGACTTAAAATAGACTTCAGTTTCTTTAAACAAAATAAACCCTTCTGATTTGGGGCTGAAATATAATCTGCACACTTCATAGACAGTTTCACTTATTTTTATGTTTTGTCTGATTGAATCTCAGGCAACAGTATGACAAATATCATCATTCTTGCGTCTCGTATGAAGTTGTTTTCCTTCATGTCAAATCAAATGCTTTGTCAACAGTGTGACACAGTAAATTGTGTTTGGTTTCAGATAAAGTGAAGTCTTTCCGCTCGGCTCTTCAGGAAGAGGAACAGGCCAGTCAGCAGATCAACCCCAAACGCCCGCGAGCCCTGTAGCCACACAGCACCAGCAGAACAATCCCATCAGCCCTCATCTCACCAGTGTATCTACATGTGTAACCTGTACGTGATGTGATGCTTTCTTTCATCCGACAAAAGCACATTTTAACTGGATGGATGATTTGAGTTCTTACTAAACTGAATGAGGATAGAGTTTAAGGCCATGAGAGGGCATACAGTGAGCTAATGCATGAACAAACCAGCTCTGCATCATCTGACTGGACCGTATGTGTGTGTGTGTGAGAATCCTGTAAATATGTCATTGACTCATTCATGCTTTTCAGATGTATATATACTGCTCATTTACTTCCATAACAGTTTGCCAGATATTGAAATGTGATTTATAGCGTCCCAATGGAAAAGAGCAGATACAGTCTAGAAATAGTCACAATTAGGGATGCACTGATATAGACATTTCGACCACTTATTTTTATGACTACTAATTAAGGAAACTTGTTTCCAACACAGGATGACAAAATAAAGGTGCTTCATTGTTTTTGGGATGAAAAACATAATCTCACAAGTCTGCTATATATATATATATATATATCTCAAAATCCAGTTTTTTTTTCTTCTCAGAATCATGAGACAAACTCAGAATTCTGACGTTCTCACAATTCTGAGATTTATATCTCGCAATTCTGTACTTTTTAATTATGCAGAATAAAAATAAATAAAAACGGTAATTGCAACTTCTCACAGTTCTGATTTTTCTCCACTGCAATTGCGAGTTTCTCACAATCAGGACTTTTCTTTTCTGAATTGTTCCGAATTCTGTTTATATCTCGCAATTCTGAGTTGAAACTTGCAATTCTGACTTCTCAGAATTGGTAAAAAAACCAGAAAGAACTGTGGGATAAAAAGTCGCAATTACCATTTTTATTTTTTAATGCTGTGATGGAAACAAACTTCTATTGCTAACCAGTCTGTAATGTTTTTTTTTTTTAATCTCTGGTGCTCTTAGGTAATTTTTCAAAACATAATCTCACAAGTCTGCTATATATATATATATATATATCTCAAAATCCAGTTTTTTTTTCTTCTCAGAATCATGAGACAAACTCAGAATTCTGACGTTCTCACAATTCTGAGATTTATATCTCGCAATTCTGTACTTTTTAATTATGCAAAATAAAAAAAAATAAAAACGGTAATTGCAACTTCTCACAGTTCTAATTTTTCTCCACTGCAATTGCGAGTTTCTCACAATCAGGACTTTTCTTTTCTGAATTGTTCCGAATTCTGTTTATATCTCGCAATTCTGAGTTGAAACTTGCAATTCTGACTTCTCAGAATTGGTAAAAAAACCAGAAAGAACTGTGGGATAAAAAGTCGCAATTACCATTTTTATTTTTTAATGCTGTGATGGAAACAAACTTCTATTGCTAACCAGTCTGTAATGTTTTTTTTTTTTAATCTCTGGTGCTCTTAGGTAATTTTTCACAGAAAAATGTATTTTTTAACCAAAATCTGGATGGTACAAAACTTGAAGGTTTTGCTACTTGCTACGTGAACACAGAAAAAAAAAACGGACTAAAAAACTGACTGGTTAAATGGTCCTGATAAAAAAGTCACGCGTGCACGGTTTGCCAACTAACGGGAAATAAATTATCTAGTGTAAAAGTTTGGTAGTGCGCCCAAATAAAATTCTACTGAAAGCTCTTTTTTTTTGTGATATCAACTTCAATTTTGGAAACCAACTTTAAATTTATGACTTTTTTTCTTTTAAGAATAAAATGTTTTGGACAATATATTTCATATAAAATGTAAAAAAAAAAAAATTTTGTGCATTTTTCATAAACTTCTATTTCTTTTCTTTTTTTATACTTTTTTATGCTCCAAAGAATTCATGATTTAAGACAGTTTAAGGTCTATACTTTTTATAAGTGGTTAAAAGACAAATGGATGAACTGTTCCATAAATTTTAGTACCATAAAATAAAATAAAAACTTAACATAGTACACTAACATAATTAAAAATAATACAAATTCAGTCATTTTTCACTGACATGTGAGGAGCACCAGAGAATTAAATGAAAACACACTGGGGGTCATTTATGAAGCTCAAACATGACAATTATTTTGAATAAATTGTTATATATAATGCTTCATGTGAAAGGCATAAAAATATACAAGTGGGAAATACTGTATAAGAAAATTTGGGGGCCCCATATTGATTGTATTGAAAATTGTATTGGCCCATATTGATATAGTCAGATATATACTGTGCATCCCTAGTTACAGTAGAAGTTGCATGACTGCAATACAGATGATCTCTATTGAGACCTACAGAAACTGCTGAATTTAATAACTCATGTAGCAGTGAGACAATACATTACTTTTTTTTTTTTGATTGCCAGTAAGAGCCTTTACTGTAACAAAAAACAAATGCAGGCCTTATTACACCAACTTCACAATAAACTGATAGATTTCCATGAAAGAACCGTATCAGTGAACAAACTAATCATGCTAATTCAGCTGAGATGAACAGGCCAGAGAAGCTCAGATATATTCAAGGCAGGGTATGTGATTTTTCAAAAACACTTTAGAAAACTGATTCGGGCCGAATCGCAAAACAAACTTGTAGCCAATCAGCAATAAGGGGCGACGATTTTGTTACCATACAGTGTTTTGTTTACATTTTGAGGAATATGTAAAAGTGGTCATTATAACATTCAGGCTACAGTCTCATTTAAAAAAAAAAAAAAAGCTATTTATTAAAGCATCAGTGTTTTTTTTAAATGTTGCCCATCAATGCTTGAATGATTTTGTTCCCGTCTCATCTGAAGAGTTTGTGTGATGAGGGGAATCTGGATCTGTATAGGACTCGGTGTTTCAATGTATTGCGTTGCTAAAATAAAGAGCCATTTGAAGACGTCATTCTTCTGGTATTATTATTCAGAAAACTAAAACGAAAACTTGTTTTTGAGAAAATGTCCTCTAAAAAATCTAAATAATTTTCAGATCTTTTGACAACTAGGGAATTAATTTAAACATTAAGTAAGCACAGTGCCAAGGAGAAAAAAAAAAAGCCTTCTAAAACTAAGTTGTGACTAATGAAACATTGTATGTAAATAATTTTTTCACTTGTGATTCATTAAAAACATTAATTTGACAATGAAACGCCACTAATTATATCTTTATAATTATACTTAAAACTAGTGCTGTCAAATCGATTAATCAACATTAATTGCATCCAAAATAACAAAATTTTCCTTAAAATGTATTTTAATAAAAATTTTATTTTAATTGAAGATGTCAACATTGCAACACTGTGAATGCCAATTCTTAATTAATTCATTTTAATTGACTTAATTATCCTACAGGTTTTTATGACAGCAAAGATATCTGAAATGTACATCTAAATATAAAAAAATAACCCCATTAATTACAATAAGTATTAAATTAAAAATAACACTAACACTAACAACATGCCACTTGGGTTCTTCTGTGTCAATTCTAGGGGCCCATCTTATCCCAAGGGTCTACTTTTAGCTTTTTACTTAATGAAAACTTGAACTTTTACTTTTAAGACATAAAAACGTTGATATTCCACATAATATGGTATCATAGATTAGGCAAGGCAAGGCAAGGCAAGTTTATTTGTATAGCACATTTCATACACAATGGTAATTCAAAGTGCTTTACATAAAAGAAAAGAAAAATTACTATTATATAGAGAGATAGAATTAGATCAATGAACCTCAAAACTGTTTAGATTACTAAACTTGTCTTAATGTCACAAATGTTGATATTCAGATGAAACGATTTAAACGAATTAAAAATAGCGTTGCCATTCAGATTTTGTGCTGTCTATGGTTACGGTGGGATCAAATTTAGCACTCTTACAGAAATATAATATTTTGCAATTATTTAAATCTGACTCATTTTCAAAATGTTTGTAGTAAATCAACATCTCAGGAAAATGTTATTGGGTTTTTAAATCAGAATATGACTTTTTGCTACAAAACGAGGCATCAATTTTATGTCTTCTGTAGAGGACATCAAGTCAATAGGGGAAGAAATTATAGATCAATATCCCTATGAAATGACAAATTCTTATGAAAATGTTGCCAAGTTATTACTTCCATAATTACACTTCTTTTTTCATTACATGCTGCCCCAAGAACACATTAATATACAAATTAGTTACAATGTATTGATACACTGCATAGAAAGGGAATACCAAGTTATGGAGATTTTACACGAATATTGCATCAAGTAAAATCGGATATTAAAGGGATAGTTCACATAAAAATTAAAATTCTGTCATTAATTACCCTCATGTCGTTCCAAAACTGTAAGACCTCCCTTCGTCTTCGGAAACACAAGATATTTTTGATGAATTCTGAGAGCTCTTCGACGGCAATGTAATTACCACAATCAAGGTCCAGAAACGTTGTAAGAACATCGGTAAAATAATCCATGTGACATCAGGGGTTCAACCGTAATTTTACGAAGCTACGAGAATACTTTTTGTGCGCAAAGAAAACAAAAAAAAACTATTCAACAATTTGTCTCCTCCGCGTCACCCTGGTGCCATTTTGGAGAATTTCACATACGTAAACAACGTATGCTGTTCTGTGTCAGCTGCCGCGTGTTGAATAAATTCAATTTATTCAATTGTTGAATAAAGTCATTGTTTTTATTTTTTTTGCGCACAAAAAGTATTCTCGTAGCTTCGTAAAGTTACGGTTGAACCCCTGATGTCACATGGATTATTTTACAGATCTCCTTACTAGGGCTGCACGATAAATCAAAAATGAAATCGAAATTGCGATTAGACAGATTGTCATGCGTATCTTTCAGTGAAGCACGGTTTCTACGGGAAAAGATACTAGTCATTTTCCAGGACAGTATTCATTATCCATTGTAACCTGAAAACACAATGCGTAATTTAAAATGCAGATAAAAAAACAATACGTTAGATTCTTTCATATTAATTGTGCCCTATTTTTTACAGACTTTAGCAGACTGTAGCATACTAACTAACTACTAATACACTGCTTAAAGCATAATTGAGAATGTGTAGTATTACTAGTTTACTAGCTATTAAAAAAACGATATGGAAAAAGAAAAAAAAGGAACCACCTCCCCCATTTCTAATACCATGTGTGGAAGTGAAAAGTGGAAGAAGAAAAGAAAACGAAAAGGGTGTTGTATAAGAACATCCCTTTAACTCCTGACAGCTGACCCCAGACACCAGAACACATTTTTTTAAATATATATTTTTTCAAAGACATGTAATATTTCTCACTTTTTAGTTGGGTAATTTTGGAGGGATTTACAATATTTTTTTTGTTATTATTCATTTTCATGTTTTTTCTCCAGTTGTTTATGCTCCAAATTAAAAAAAAATTTTTTTTAAAAATCACAAAATTTTTATTTTAGTTCTCGGGAGGATATGAAATCATGGGCGCCAAGCAAAATAACGCAAATATGCGACAATGACATATAGTTACATAAAAGAGTTCTATGCTAGTCGCCAACAAACCAGCTTCAGACTAACAGCTTAC